AGAGAGCTAGGTATATAGCTCATAAATGGCAGTTAGCCAAATAGTCTCACAATAACCACATTGCAGAAGAACATTGCTTTATTCAGGGGAAGGAAAGACATAAAGCTATAGCAATTATGTGTATGTCAATGCCTAGATTCCTGTACCCATTATGTCGCCTTTCTGTCTCTGGCAATGTGCAGGGACTGCAAAGGAATCACAATAAATCCCAGGTGTATTCCCTCAGTAATGGAACAATTAGAGTTGGCACGCATATCTGTATAGTGTGATCACACATGGCAGCTGGAATCCCAGGGGACCAGTATGATAGGAGGAGAAGGGGGGTTTCTCTATATGCTCCTGGGTGGTGACTTGATTTCCACATCAATCCATCATGTAGCTGCATGACTGAAAACCCTCTCTTGTTGTTACTTTGGTTGTTTAAACCCTAGAATCTGAAAAAAAGTCTTAGCGGACGTAGTACTATTGGGAATATAAGAAGGTTCCTCGCGGTCCTGTAGGACAAAAAAGCTGAATCATACCTCATCCTTCCTTGCTTAAGTGGCAGTTGTGTTGAGCTGTTGGATTCTGTTTACACTTGCAAGCTACATTTGTGCTGTATTTCCTGTCTGAGCTCAGAAAGTTCCCCTATGGATACATAGGCTGTAAGGCAGATGAGAATCACTTGGGAATGTATGGAACACCATGTAAGTCCCAAAACTTTATAGAATCATAGAAAATTAGGGTTGGAAGGGGCTTCAGGTGGTCATCTGGTTCAGCCCCCTGTTCAAAGCAGGACCATCCCCAACAGGATCATCCCAGCAAAGGCTTTGTCTAACCAGGTCTTAAAAACTTTAAAGGATAAAGATTCCACCACCTCCCTGGGTAACCTGCTCCAGTGTTTTACTACCCTCCTAGTGAGAAAGTGTTTCCTAATATATAACCTAAACTTCCCTTGCTGCAACTTGAGACGATTACTCCTTCTTCTGTCATTTACTACCACTGAGAACAGTCTAGCTCCATCCTCTTTGGAACCACCCTTCAGGTAGCTGAAGGCTGCTCTTAGATTCCCTACCCCCCGCCCCAGTCTTTTCTTCTCCAGACTAAATTAGCCCAGTTCCCTCAGCCTCTCCTCCTAAGTCATGTGCCCCAACCCCCTCACCATTTGTGTTACCCTTTACTAGACTCTCTTCAATTAGCCCACATCCTTTCTTGTAGTTGGGGGGAACAGGGGCATGGGGTGGGGACTGGACACAGTACTCCAGATAATGGCCTCACCAGTGCCGAATACAGGGGAAGGGCAGACAAGGTTCTTTGGGTGAATCTGATATCTTTTATTAAACCAACTTAAATAGTTGGAAAAAAATTTTAAGCAAGCTTTTGTGTTTAAAAACCGTTCGTCAAGCTGAGGAAGTTTCTGCAGTTGGTGTATGCTCTTCCTGGATGGAATGAAAAGTAAAGAAGCCAGAGGCTGGTCTGCATACAAGATAGGCAGTCAGTGAAGATGTAAATTGAGGAGTCAGTGGGTGAGAGACAGGTTGGGTGAGGGGGAGAGAAGGGGTATGAAGAGTGGAGAGGTACCTGGGGAGTCAGATGTCAGGCACGTGTGTGTCATAAATCCAATGTCTATATTTAGTCCATGACTTTTAGTATCCAGGGGGTGAAGAAGAGTTCATAGTCTCGTCTCTGAGAAGTGTTTTGTAAGTTCCCTTTCAGGATCAGAACTGAGAGATTGGAGTGAGAGTGGTTTTCTTGTGAGGAGAAGAATCACTTCCTTCAATCTGCTGGCAATGTTCCTACTAACGCAGTCCGGTATGCTGTTAGCCTTCTTTGCAACAAGGACACGCTGTTGGTTCATATCCAGCTTATTGTCCACTGTAACCCCCAGGTCCCTTTTTGCAGAGCTGCTGCCCAGCCAGTCAGTTCCTAGCCTGTACTAGTGCATGGGATTTTTCCGTCCTAAGTGTAAGACTTTGCACTTTTCCTGATGAGTTGCCTGACCCTTTTCCTCAGTTACCTGGCCCTTGTCCTCAGTGGAGCAGAAACTATTCAACTGATGTTTATCCACTTTGTCCAATGTGTATTAAATGTAAGGTGAAGAAAATCCACTAGGAAAGCAGAGGCTAAAATACTTGGCTCCTCCTTGTCAGTATATCTGTCTTATTAAACTACTCTTTAATTTGCTTTCCTTTTGGCCCCAGCAGACTAGCTTCAAGAGTAGGGCTGCAAAATACCCTAGGCAATGTTCAGCCCATGTAATAAGAGTTATTTGCTTGAAAATGGGAGACTGCAGATTTTATGACTTCATGAGTGAAGTTGAGATCTAGAACTTGGGTCATCACATTCTCTGGAAAAATACCTAACCATGAGGTTATTGGGTTAAAAGGTAACATATGACTTGTACACTGGGTTTTCCCTACTGCTTTACGTAATACCAATACCTAGTATTAAACAGCTACATAGTGTTATAAGATAGTAATTAATTCTTACAATACCCTGTGAAATTCACATTAATATGTTTAGAAAGTTAGGTTAAGTGATTTGCCCAAAGCCACCCTGGTCAGTGATAGATTCAGGATGAGATCTCATGTGTTCTTAGTCCTTCATTCAGTTCATCAGAACATGCTACCACACTCATCTAACCTTCATACACTCATGCAAATTCCAAATACTTAGTGGGAATAACCTATATAAACCAGTCTTAAAAAGCTTTATCAGAATGGACAATTTATGTTATTGGGGTTCCTAAAAGGCACTGAAATCCATTATGGATCATAGGAAGGAGGGCTGGAAGAGACCTCATGAGGTCATGTAGGCCAGCCCCCTGCTCAACGCAAGGTCGTCCCTGAGTAGACCATCCCAGCTATGTGTTTGTCCAATCCAGCAGTTCCCAAATCCTGACAGATCGTGCACCACCAATTTAAAACAATACAACCTTAAGTACCACCAGCAAATGTTTCAGTTCAACCTTAAGTGCCAACAGCAAATTTTTGTCATATAAAGTCATTATAATAAATCTGTTAATCCGTACCACTGACAGGGTGTCTGCATACCACTGATGGTATGTGTACCACAGATGGGGAACCACTGATGCTCTTGAAACTTCCAAGGATGAAGATTCTACAATTTCTCTAGATAACCTATTTCAATGCTTGACCACCCTCATAGTCAGAAAGTTCCTCCTAATCTCCCACCTAAATTTTCCCTGCTGAGGCCATTGCTCCTAATCCTGTTTTCTATAGCCACAAAGCAAAATCCATCTCCATCTTGTCTATAATTACCCATTAGGTATTTGAAAGCCGTTTTCAAACCCACCTGAGTCTTCTCTTCTGCAGAGTATATAACCCTAGTTCTGTCAGCTTTTCCTCATACATCATGCTTCTCAGGCCTCTAATCATGTTTTTCTGTGCTGCACTCTTTCCAAACTGTCCACATCCTTCTTGAATTGTGCGACCCAGAAGTAGACACAGTAGTCCAGGTGAGGCCTCACCAGTGCTGGGCAGATGGGAGGAATTACTTTCCTTGATTTGTAAATGACATGCCTGTTAATACAACCCGGCACACTTTTGCCTTCTTTTTTTTTGCAACAAGAGCACACTTTGGTTCATATTCAGTTTATGGACTATGGTAATTGCCTGGTCCTTCTCTGCAGTACTAGCCTAGCCAGTAATTCCCTGGTCTGTATTTGTGCATGCAATTGTTCTGTCCCAAGTGTAGGAGTTTTTATTGATTGTGACCATATTTCCATTCTATCCAAGTAATTGTGGGTCCTAGCCCTATGATGCAGCGTACAACTCCATCCAGCACCACCCATTGGAGGACATTGCTTTAAATTATAAACTATTTGCAGTTAGGACATGATCCTCGTACTATTTCTAAAGGGCTTAGTATATTTTTGACACCATTTGTAGAATAATAATGTTCTTCTGGCTAAATACAGATAGTCAAAAAGCCTGAGGCTGAATTGATTCCATTTTTGCATATTAGTCTAAGCTGCATAGATCAAACCAATAAGCAAGTGAACAGACGTTCACTTTTGATTCCAGAAATGCAGCCACATGCCTGCAGTGGCTCAGGCCAGAAGCTAGGGTATGCTAGAGCAGACAGCTTGGGCCAAAGGTGGCCTGCCCACCTACAAGGTGGACAGGGGTTGCAAGGGAGGTGCAAAGCATCCTGGGGTGCTGGGTGACTGAGTTAACTTGAATCTGGAGGGGATCTAGGACAGAAGTTCAATAAACCTATTTAACCTAAATTAGTGAAGTTTGATACTACAGCCATTTGGGTTTATCTTAAATCAGTTTCAGCCATTTTGAAAGCAGTTTATGTGCACAGAACTTCTGTCGTGTTACGGATTAGAACTGGTTTCAGACCACTTATATCAGTTTATGAGTAATTTGTGTCCCTAGTCATAATGGTCAAGGCTATAATACTCTATATGCTAAGCCCACTTCTGTTTGTTTTTATCTGAACTAATCAGTCATGAGAAAAGTTTATGAAAAATATAACTAGTTAAAAGTTAGCAGCCTTTAAAATTAACTTGAGTTTAAAAGGTTTAATATTTCCACTTTCAGCTAGTTAAAAGGTAAGTTAAAAAGAGAGTAACTAGTTAAAAGTTAAGTTGATTCATGAGAAATGCATGGAACATGGTGAATTGCCTTTTAGCATCATTTTTCATTTTCAAATGCAATGTGTGGGTTTCTTTTCCATAAGCCCACAGAAGCACATTAATTTACTCAGAACTCAACCTGCTTTACCTGAAAACAATGTTATACTTGTCATAACGTTTTCAAAATAACAATTTACCAATACCTATGCAATGTTAGATCTTTCTCACCCTCTCCATGTGAAGTACTTTGTAAAAGGCAATGTATCATATAGGTATACCAAAATAACAGAATGGAGATCATTCATAGCCAGATAACAAATGAAAGCTGTTTCCACAGACAACCTCTGTTGTTACAATTTTTATTCCTCAAAAGGTAACAAAAGGGTATGAAATACATCTGAATTAGAATTAATGGAAATGACTGAAAATCTAAATTAGACTCAAATGAGAAAATCAGTTTAAATGAGAAAAAGAATGTTCAGTTGCATAGCAAAACTGTTTAAACATGCTTATTGAACTTCAGCAGAAGCTTCAAAACGTACATCTGACAATTTTCCTTTTCTGTCTTGCAAAACTAAGCCCCCACTACTGAACAATCGCTCTACATGGACAGATGAGGGAATGCTTGTGTTATAACAGATGAGTAGTTTTTTTCAAAGTAAGTGACATCTCAGATAAGTTTCTCACAGATAAGAAGTAATGCTCAACTTCTTGGGCCCTAGGCTGCTGGTTCTAATCTTCATTAAAATTAAAAAAGTCACCATCTGCTTCACCCTCACTATTTGCTCCCACTCTTACTGAGATCAACGTCCCCGCTTGCTTGTGCTTGTTCCCTCCTGCAGCCAACTGGCTGCCCTGTTGACTTCTGCAAATGCACACAAAATGCCAGCATGAACTAAGGAACTCTGAGACTTATAGTTCTTAAGAGACCATATTTCATAGGAAGCCACGCTACTTTCTCTCTCTCAAACAAGAAGTCCTAGAGTTTCAATAAAGAAATATCATTCCATTTAAGTTCTAGAGAGTGGCTGCCAGAAAAAACTCTGGAAAAGCCGGATTTCAATATTTTTTTTAACTTTTAACTTATACTTTTAAAAAAGTTAAACTTAACCTTTTTTTTTAACTAGTTAAAGTTAAAAGTTAACAGCTGAAAAATGTAATTAGTTAAAGTTAAAAGTTAGCCATTTCTTTAACTTTTTAACTAGTTAATTAACTAGTTAATTCCCATGACTGGAACTAATCATTAAAAAGAAAGACCAGCAATGACAACAGCAATAAATGTGATATAACGTATTTTATGTGGAATAGACATGCATGTTCTATGCAGAAAATATTTCCTTCTTCCTACAGATTATTCAGATATAACTAAAGCACGGTGAAATGAGAACAGCAGTAGTTTTCTGCCACATGAAATTTCAATGTGACCACGGGGAAGGGCCATTAGAACTACTGGCCACCAATGAAAGCTCCTATAGATTTTCAAACATTCCAGACTTTCCCAGGAGTCCACCTTGTGGACCTGCTTCAGCACAGGTCTACATGCATTCATCAACAAATTTAAGTGACCACATGAGAAACAAACTTGGGAAAGGGTAAGGAAGGAATGAACCTTCTGCAGTTGTGTTCAGGATATTCAATAAAAAGGTATATTTGCAGATATATGGCAGATGTGTAGAAAATATGGTTCCATTTGGTAGACTTGGTTTGCTTTTGATAATGATGATGATGTTTTCTCCCCAGGTTCGAAGCTCATTTCTGTAATTAAGAAAGTGTGGGTAATGAATCCTAAATGGTAGATTTCTATTGTTGGAAAATCTAACCAGAGTAGAAACATGGAGATGAAAGCACAAGCAAGGCCAAGGGGTTTAAACAAATTCTGTTCACAATATGTCCCTGTGGTACAGTGCTCATTCAGAGCCGGTTCGGGGACTGATGGAACAGCATACTGACATTAGCTCACTGTTCTACACGGGCCATACTTCTTGGTGTGGCTAATTAGCGCAGGCAACATGCTAATTCAGCCAGACCACTTCTATAGCTTTTATAGTTTGGGTATCTCTGCCAGTCTGCTGCATGGGTAAGTCTGACCTGGGAGGGTGGCATGCTTTGCCACATTAGAGATGCACTGATTTAGCAAGCCTCACAGGAAGCCTCTTGCGGAGACCACATCAAAATTTGCCCCCCCCATGCAAAACCCGTGAGCTGTGCAGCCCTCCCCTGGACTGAATTCTCAGCACAGCACCCTTATTATGTCCCTAAGTTATCAGAAGAGGAGAATCTCAAAGAAGAGAGTTCTACAAATATTTATATTGCATTAAAGTATCTAGGAATGACACTCCTACAAACACAACAACAGTGGATTTAAATAATTATATTTGAAAATCTGTGAGGGAATATGAACAGTAAATAGAAACCCACAGAGAGACAATTGCAAGAAGATTATTTGAAATTACATGTACAATAATGGAATGTGTAACTATGGAAATTAGACTTGTAAGGGACTGCTACTGAGGCTGAAATTTTTGAAACACAAAAACAGCAGGACACACGTTATAATTCTATAAAATCAGGATTGGAGCCAAATTCTGCTTTCATTTACACTGGCACAAATCCGTAGTAAATCCAGAGATTTTAATGGTGCAACAAGGAGAAGAATTTTGCTCTTGGAAGGAAAGATAAGAGAGTTCAGTGCAGCAGATAAAATGATGTTGGCTGGAGAGCTGTGGAAGAAGGAGTATCAATTTGTTTTAGTTGCCTCAGGAGAAATTCACTTAATACTTTTGGGTAATGCAGAGCTTTGAAAACCTGAATGTTTAGATGCTTTTGAGAACACTTGAGACACATGCAAGTGTCAACGTGCTACTATTTGTCAGCTATTTAATATTGCAAGTCAAAAGGTATCTACACACTATTTTGCCTGGAAATAGGTTTGTCACATTGGTCCTGATCTTGGAAATACTTACACCTGTACACAGCTTAACTCATGTATAGTTCTACTGCATTCAGTGGAATTCCTGGAGAACATAAAATTAAGTTTGGGAGTTAGTGGCTGAGGCTCAGAGGAATAAGTGAACAAAAGGATACACTTTTTTCAGACCGGTACCAAGGGAAAAGCTATTATTAATTAGGATAGTTGTGCATGCACCTCTCAGAGCACTGTGAGGACTACAATCCTGTCAGTCAAATACCCACCGCTACCTAGCTGTCACTTTAAGCATATTAAGTTTACAGCAGGTATAGACCCTTTTGTGATATTTGCAGAAGAAAAAAAGAGTTGAACTTAACAAGCATTCATTTCCCCCAGGGGAGCACAGCCCCTCAACCTCAGCATGCATGTTCAAAAGTGCCCTAAATGTGCAGTAATGGGAGTAACTGTGCAGTAGTACCAGTGAACATCTGTGACACTACTGTGCAGTAGCCTAATAATACTGCACTGTAGTGTATTAGCATTGCTGGCACTATGATGTGCTACTGTGCAGTATGATTTGGCTACTGCACAGCCAGGGTCTCATGTAGCTGCGCCCACTGGCTGCACCTACACAAGCTTTTTACTGCAGAGTAATTAGCTGTGGAGTAAAGCATCACTGAGGGTAGCAGGCTGCAGTAAACAAATTTATGCTGGCGTAAAATAGCACTGTTGGGGAATGTACTATCTTACACGGAGGTAATTCACTCTGATTTAGCACATGTAGACGCTAACCAGGGGCATGAACTACATCCTGCCAGGCCAGCTAGCTAGGGACCAGGCTGCTGCCTATAACCTGGCCACGAGGCTCTGTACTTTCAGCGCCCCTTGGGAGCCCAGGGCTGATGCCCTTCAACACCCTGCTAGCGTGGGCCTGCTCTGCCACGCCTCAACGTGCTGGGTGCACACGCAGGCACTATGCCCAGGAGTAGTTTACTCCAGCTCAAACTGCTCTGGAGTATATTGCTTTGCATTAATTGCAGGTCTAGAGCACCCAGAAGGAACAGAACTACAGCCTGAAATGCAGAGGAAACAGCTGAATCCTACTAATTTGGGGCAAGGTGGATTTAGTGCAAACTGAATCCCAATTCAAAGGCACTTAAGAAACACGGGAGTCTGCCAGACTCAGTTTAGCCTCAGACACCCCTGCCTCGACTCTTCTCTCAGCCCTGCCAGGTGTGGAAGCGCCCCCTAGGCTAGTGGTCTCCAAAGTGGGGTGCACACACCCCAGGGAGTGTGCAAGATGATTCATTGGGGTGCAGGAAGAAAATATTAGAACTTCTATTTATATAAATATACATATATTGGGGACGCATGCTCAAAAATTTTTTACTGATAGGGGTGCACAATCAAAAAAGTTTGGAGACCACTGCCTTAGGCCATGCTGGTGCCACGAGGACGCAGCCGGGCCGGACACAAAGGGGCTGAGCCCGGATCCAGCCGCGCCTGGCGCGGGAGCGGACGGGGCTCGCGGCTCAGCTGTGCCGGCCCCACGCCGGGGGACTTCCCTGGAGCGCTGCCCCTCTGCGGATGAAGGGAGCAGAGAGGCTCCAGGCAGAGCTGCCCCCACCCCCCGCGCTGCGGGCGAGATCGCCTCTGCCCCTCGGCGAGGGCGGCGGCGACAGGAGCCTGGGACAGCGGCTAACACTCAGCCTCGCCTCACAAGCCGCGGCGCACGCGCAGTCCGCCGGGGCCACCGCCCCCTCCTCTCCTCTCCCCTCCCCCGCTGCGGTCCCGGAGCTGCGCTCGCTGCGGGCGGGGCCGGGCCGCTCCCTCCCGGCCGCGGGGGCAGGAGGCAGAGGCGCAGGCGGAGGCAGCCG